ATAGGATTTTTTTGATCATCTCTTCCGGAGACCCCGGCGGCCTTAATCTGCCTTGAATGTGAATCCCCTTCACCAGCATCTTACATCGCATGAGCGTAGATTGTGTTTTTGCTTCATGTTGCACCTTTGTGATGCTTTTGACTCCCCTACTCTCAGGCTTTCCTTTACACTGGACCAGTATCACTGTAAATGTGGATGTACAGCTGTTTTCATAAGCTTCTTATGTCTAGATGAATGTCTAAACTTTGCTCAACAGAACAATGGATATTATTACATTGCCAAAACTGATACATTCATGTTTTAAAGATACTTCATTAAAAGAAATGCACTCTAATTCAAAGGTCTATAAAATAGATTGAGACTTTATATGTAGACATTTCCTGCTGTTTTAAAATGCTGTGAATTTTTTAGTTAAGGAAGTACTGCTGTACATATTTCCCCATCAATTGGCAGATTAGTGAAGTAGTTTGTCTATTAACTAATAACATTCTTCAGTGTTCGATCTTTTTTCTTTGTAGCTGTGTATCTCTGTTGTGGAAAGACTACTCCTGAATATGGTGTTTGTTTCTACTGAATCGTTGTAAAATAGAAAAGACTTAGTTAATATATTTCTTATTTTCATTTCTTTATGAACGGTGTTTCATTTGATCCTATAAATTGCCGTTTCAGAAACTGAAGAAAATAAAATCGTTTAAATCTTGCAGTCGTGTTGTTGATTCAGCCTCCATTTGTTCATCGAATTGAATAGTTTATGATGATTTTTTCTACATTTATTTACCTTGAAGTGTTTATACATGGTTTCACGTTTGTCTGAAATAAAAAAACAAAAAACTTTATCCGAGTAATAAGGTATCGGAGTATTTACTAAAAAAAAATCAACTTCACTGATAAAAACCAAAGTCTGTGCTGGGAATCTGCTGCTTCTTGTGATTATAGTTTAACATCTTTGGGTATTTGGAGCTCAGCTTGATCTTCAGTCCTCAATAAACCCCCTTTGTTTTTTTAAGATTTTTACATCAAATTTGTTCTTTTCTGTAACTCTGAATTCATATCAGTTCATTGTTTTCTCCCTTTCTTCCAGCATTTTGTTTCTGGAAACGGCCACATTGAACCAGGGTTGTCCAAACTGTGGTCCAGTTGTTCAAATTTGGCTTGTTGGCACAGACTGCAGATGCAGACTCTTTTTCTTTTCTTTTAGGGTAAGATTATTTTCTGTCAAATTAAAGGTTAGGTGCCATTTAAACAATTAGGAATCTCTTAAAATTAATTTTGTATTGCTGAGTTTAAAAACATAAGTTGACATTAAAGGGCTTTTGACTTGCTGTTTAGAGTTTGAATACCACTGACTTAAACCATGGCATATCAAATTAATCTCCTTTGTAAAGATATATTTTCATTGATTGTCCAGAAATTATTTTAGACTTAATTATTAATGGGTTTAGTTAAATTGCATAAGTGGGCACACATTACTCCACAGAGGGGAAATTCGTGTAATGCAGTATAAACTGTATTTTACAATCGGTTTTCACTTCTCTTGGTTCAGATTCCTCTTTGGATCAGCTGACTGTTATAAAATATTTTAAAATAATTTTAATCCCCGATTATAAAATTAATTCAAAGGGACCTGACCCATCTTTAATAATAGTCATTCAAGCCGTTTAGTGTATATACATCAAGTTGTTTCTAATTTTTGGTTTTCAAGATGCCAGTAAAGCATTTCTAAGGTGGATTAAAATAGCTTCTTTGTCTGCATGACCAGTTTCTTCTGACTGCAGGTAAAGTTAACCCTTTGGCCAGAGTCCTGACTGGAGTATTATCTGTGAAAGGAGCTAAAGATTAGAGGGAACCTTGAATTCTTTTAGAGATTCCAGTCCCATTTCCAAACAGAATTAAGTTTCTTGGATGACTTGGTACAATTTTCAATCTTAAGTCTTTAGGTGTATGAATAACACTGGCTTGACTGTATGTGCTTCATTTAATTATTTTTCTTAACCTTCGTTAATGAACACCTTATTTAAGCATCGTTGTATAAGGTAAAGTAATTTTACCTTGTTATAGTTTTACTTTGTTCTAAAATTTAAAAACATGGGTTTATGATTTTCTTTTAAAATGTACTGCTAGTGTTGTAGGCATAAACAGCTTTTCAAGTTGAACAAATTGCTAATTTAAAAACATCAACGGAAATTAATTCGGATAAACCAGACAGGACAGTTTCTATGTGAAATACTCACCTTTTTATTTTTTTTATTCTTTTCTTTGCAGCCAAAGAGAATGACATAACATGTGAGGACTGTGGCCTGACGTTTACTGTCATGGACGCCTACGAGACTCACCTGCACCAGCACGCACTGGACGAGGAGGAAGCCCAGCTGAGAGACAACGAAGCTCCCACACAGCAAGATGAAGAAAACGAGTGTGAAGACCAGAGCTTCGGTGTGGATGGTTGTGATGCAAACGGTTCGGCACAAACCCAACGTCCTCAGTTGATGCAAAGCAGTCGGTATCCTGTGAATCCCACCAGATACACATGTGCAGCTTGTGGGAAGAGTTACACCTACCTCGTTTCCTTTCAGAAACACCAAAAAATGCATGAAAAACCGCGTGAAAAAGAAAAAATCCAGAGCCCGGTTGATCCAAACCTGCGTCTGTACGAGTGTCCAGACTGCGGGATGTCGTTCATCAGGCGAACGCGACTGGTCAGCCATCTGAGAGTTCACAGGTCCAAGAGGCGCGGTAATCTGCCCAAATGTGATCAGTGCAACAAAGTCTTCATTTCTGTAAAGACGTGGACGGCTCACCTGGAGCTGCACAAAGAGAGACGGTTCTGGTGTTTGAGCTGCGCTCAGGGCTTCCTGAATGAAGGGTTGCTGGACAAACACCTACAGAATCATAGTCGACGACCGCAGAACCACAAAGCTGACGACAGAAGCATCCACGACGCCAAACCACCAGCGAGTCCTCCAAAAATGCAACGCAAACAAAAGCCTCATGTTTGCCTTCACTGTGGCAAGAGGTTCTGGCGTTCTAGACAACTGTTTAGACACACACAAAAGCATGTTAGACGTGAAGGCAGGGTCGCCACCAAACCTCCAGGGAGCTCTGTGATTTGTCGAGAGACGGGAGACATTAAAACGGAGCCGTCTATAAGCGAAGGAGAAAAGCTGGAGGTGGATGAGAGCGTCGAAGAGTTGCAGGTGAAGGAGGAAGACATGCAAGTTGAGGGGCAGAGTCCATACGCGGCGGCGGCTGAGGACGGGGATCAGGACGACTCTGAGGATTCAGACTGTGGAGAGCCTGGTCATCACTATGAGCTTTCAGAACCTCGCCGCTCGGACGACCAGCCGGACCAGCCAAGCTCAGAAGCTACACAGTCACCAACTGGAGGGGAGACGGAGAAGTCAGAGCCAAAGCTGCACAGAGAGCATAAGTATTGTGAATGGGAGTGCATTGAATGCGACATGGGCTTTGATGAAATGGCAAAGCTGCACTCGCATTACGTAAAACACGCAACAGGGGAGTTACCCATACCAAAGGAAGAAATTGAGGTTTAAAACCTTTCAAAAGGTTTTTTTTTTTTTTGTCTTTGTATTGCTATAGGATTTCAGCTTCTTAATAAAATGTTGTTTTTTTTAACCATGTAAGAAATGCTTCCGAGTGTTTGAAATTTAAATGTTTGTAAGACGACATACAGAAATAATGGGGAAAATGTGGAAGCTGTAAGCAAAAATAATGCATGCTCATACTTTGTAAAACCAAAATAAAAATAAGTCCATCTAAACTGAGCTGAATAGTCACTTTGCTTTAACATCCACAAAGTTGTGTATGAATTGATTTAATAAGCAAGTGGACTGAAAATTATACATATAGCCAATACTCTGTAAATAATACATTTTCAACTGCAAACCTACATTTTCTACCAGTTGTGTACATCCAATCAAACTCAAATCTTCGCAAATTCTTCTTTGCAAAATGACTCAAACTCATATTAAAGAGAGTGTGTGAGTGTCGTGGAAAAAATTACTTTAGCAAGTCTGGATGAGAAGAAATAAGAAATTTATTAAAACCTTACAAGGTGAGAACAAAAGTACAGAATCAAAGGAGTCTGTCAAGTCTGCTATGACCAACACTAGATGTGGCTTCCTTTTATGGGTTCTGGTCAGAGAAGACGGACTTGATTGGATGATGGGTGTGAATCTTTGATTGTTATATTAGGGAGATGGTCTGGCCATTTCCCTGATTGGACAATAGGTGTTCTCCTTGACCAATCTCATGATGAGATCATCCAGACACATGATCTCATCAGACACAATCTAAAGCACAAAAAGGGTGAAGAGCACATTATAAAATTTTCCATTACAGTGAGCAGCAGTTTTAATTCCCTTACCTAATTCTCAGCTGGATTTCAGACTGGACATTGATTAGGTCACTCTGTCACATGATTACTTAAACCATCGCACTGTGTTTAATTGACCTAATGGAAGACGGACCTTTACCGCAGTCTTTAGTCTTCTAGAGCCTCCAGAAGGTTCTCATCCAATATTGCATTTTATTTGTCCATCTTCTCATCAACCCTGATGAGCTTTACTACCCCTGCTGAAGAAAAATATCCTTGCAGCATGTTGCTGCAACCACTGTGCGTTTCATGGTGCAGTAAGAGGCAGCAGAGTGGTTGTTAATGAATACAAATATCTGGTATACTTTCATTTCAAAGTTTTATTTCTTTGTGTTGGTGTATAACAAATTAAATACCTTGAAGTTGTATTATTACAACTAGCATTTCAAAGAGGAGGAGGCCGCTTTTGTAGAGTACAGTAGGTTTAGCAAAGTGTTTTTGTAAAGAAGATAAAATAATCCAAATGTTTTCAGTGTTATATGTTAAATCCTTACACCATAAAGATGAAAAAAAAATTATCATTCATAAAAGTTCGTTTGTATTTGCAAAAAAAAAAAAAAACAACAAAAACAGCATATCCCATGATTCCCTCGTGCGCGTCTCTTGTTCGACGTAACGTCGCGCGCTCTGCATCTGCTCAGTGGTGGCTTTGTGAGAACCGACGCAGAGATGTTTGGGCGGTCGAGTCGGGCCAGGTAACGTTTATCTCCATCCTGCTCACTCATTATAGGCCGAGCATGTGTTTATGAAACAGGAAGAAGAGCTTAATGAGTGTATGCTTATCATCCATGGCCCGGTAGCGGATGGGAGAGGCGGAGATTTGCATCCTGATTTTGTCCCAAATATGTGAATTCGGCTAACCGGGCTATTGTTACCTGTGTATCGGATGCGTTTGCGAGGAGTTTATTCATGAAGGCTCTTAGCATGCTAAAACGGTTGTAGCAAAAACCAAAAAACAAAGATTTTAAAGTCTTCCCGTTTTACCAGCGTCCACCAGCTGCCCTACATATCTACCAGTACGCTATTGTTATTCAAATGGTTTAAGCCCAGCTGTCTCCCAGTGGATAAAGCAGCCCCTTGATTTTTAATCAGAGTGTAACTATTGCTATGCATACATGCTAATGCATTTTGTATCTTTTTATAGTTAGGAAAAAAGGAAGTGATTTTCACGGTTGCATATGAGACACTGAAGCAGAGAGCCATGCAGCGTTCACCAGAGGATCACACTGAATCCAGCCCAGTGGTCATGTCTGCTGCAGAGCATCAACAGGACACAGAGGCTCAACCGACCCAAAGCAAACCAGTTAATCAAGAGGGGAAGGACAAACCAGATGCCCCTTCTCAGACCACCACCACACCTACAAGTATGAGCCTAAATCCTCCCCTGGATAAGGAGCCTGGTGTCCAGTCCCAGGCAGAGTCCAGGGAAAATGCTGGAAAGGCAGATACAGACCCTACTGCAAAGCCCAGTGCCCCACCAGGACCGGCTGCTGAGAGTGATGGGCAGGGAGTAAAAAAACAAGGCAAAGGTTCGAGCGATGGGAGGAGATATGTTTCTTCCAGGGACACCATGATCTCTGACATGTCAGAGTCAGAGGTCATGGATCTCACATGTGAGTCACTTACTTATTTACTACACACTTGTGGGCACTTTAACTTTTAAAGCTTTGTTGAATCCAGCGTTGATGCAAGTTTTGATTTAGTCTGAGTTCCACTTAATATCAGTTTGTCAATGAAAGAATTATGAACTGTAGTAGCTCTAAAACGACTCAGTTTTACCTGCACATTTTTAGGATACAAAGTGTTTTCTTATTTCTCTTCCGGTGGACTTTCACTTTAGAAATCTTTCTCCTTTCTTTGGACCAGGACTTTATGTAATGCATTTCTGAACATGGTTTGCTGAAATGAAATTATATTCTTACAGGAGCTGTTTGTCAAAACAGACAACCCTAATTAAACAACTTTTATAAAACTTGAAATAATACTGTTTGTAAGCAAAAAATAAAGACAGTTAAAGCCATACCTTCAGTTTACATTGTAACCAGTTTAAAAACTTCTATTCAGAATCAATAAAATATAAGCTTTTGTATTTTTTATTAGATGCTGTCACAAAATTTTAATAAATCAAAGTTCTACCTGTTTTTTGTAGTTAGAATAATCATCAGTAAATTGACATGTAATAAATAGTCGTTTAATCAGATGTCCACCAACAGCTACACAGAATATTCTGTCACGAAACACAATTTGATAATTTTTTTGTATTAAGTCACTTAACTACATTAACAGATTATTTAAGTGACTTAAAAAAAAACCTGTTCATCTTCAGGTGAATAGTGTATTGTTCACCACTTGCTGAAAGAAGGAAAACAGTAGGTAAGAAATTATATTTTGTGAATTTTTATGGTTTTGTAGTTCTTAAACTTTTTTTTTTGTTCTCCCAATGGATACCTGGATTCTCTCCGGTTACTCCAACTAATTCCCTCAGCCCAAAAACATGACCTGTAGGTTTATTCAGGGCTTCTTGTTTTTTAGATTGTTTTTTTTCCCCCACTTTTATTAGATATTCAATAGTTATTTCAATCACTTAGCATAAATACTGCCTCATAGCTTCTGATTGTAGTTGGGCATGAGTTCTTAGGGGGTTTTGCAGCAGCATCTTCTCCAGTCGGCCCACAGGATGGTTCCTTTTGTCTTTTTCTTGTCAGAAACGTGTCCATTTCACAATTGCTACGCTAGCTTGAGGAGCAAAGCAGCTTGATAAATTTGACTGGCAGTGAATTAGTAAGGTGAGCATGGTTTAAAAAAACCAACCAAATAAACAAACATTTAAATAACTTATATTTTATAATAATGATTGCAAATCATGTTACAGTTTATAATTTAACAATTATGATTAAAAATGTATGCTTTACAGCATTTATTAGATTTATGTATTTATTTATTAATTTTTCCAATCTTCTGAGACTACCTCTTACGCCCCCTAGTGGGCCATACTTTGAAAAACACTGAATTAGTTGCCGTCTTTATTTTGCCCTGTGCCCTATGGCAACCTGTCCAGGGTATATTCTGCCTCTCCCTCTATAGGCAAGAGAATTGAAAAGGCTAAAAATACTGACACATGTTAAACTTCTGAATCTCCTCTGTTACTTTTCTGCAGCATCTCAGATCTCTCTGCATTGCATAGAGTGCCATATAATCTTCAGTGACCTCAAAGGCAAAGAACGTCACATGAAGCACAGCCACCCCGCTGAGTATGAGCAGTGCATCCTGAGGAATTCGCTTTTTGCCTGTTATGTTTGCGACCGCCACTTCACAAACTCAACAGAGCTCTTGGCCCACCAGAAGGCCCACCCAGACAAGAAACCCTTCAAGTGTCCGATCTGCAGTCAGTCCTTTAAGAAGTCATCAGAGCTAACGGCCCATAAAAAGATTCATTTTGGTCAGGACGGGTATGCCTGCAAGGACTGTGGCAAGACTTGCAAGACGCTGACATTGTTAAAGTATCATCAGCGCAAGCACTCAGGAGAGACACCTTATGTTTGCAAGGATTGTGGAAAGAGGTTCCCCTTATCCAAAGCTCTGCAAAAGCACATTGACTCACATTCCTTAGATGGAGCTGAAGTGGTTGAAGTGGATACAGTGTCGACAGCAGCAACGAAAACAAGCAAAGCTGACGGTAGGAAGCCTCTTTTAGACTCAAACTTGTTTTTATTACACATTTTAATAGATAGATGGATTGTACATTTCTGACTCATTAATTAAATGCCTCCTAATTTTTTACCCCCCTCTAGGTGCTTCTCGCAGGGTTTACATTTGTTCTGTGTGCAAGGCCACTTTCAAGAGTCTCAGAACACGGCAGCAGCATCTGATAACAAAGCACAAATTTGACGCAATCACTAACCCTTTTCGAGCTGGGCTACAAAATACCCCTCTTATAAGTCCAATATCTATTTCCCAACCAGCGCTATTGCAAGTGGAACCCAACGGACCTCTGCAAAAAGTCGACGCCAATATTGACACTGAGCAGATTCGGAAACTTATTGAATCGTTGGGAAATGTGCAGAAAGTAAATAAAGTTGTTATACTGGGGCAGGTGCCACCAAATGCCCCACCACTGCAGGTGCAGCAGGTGTCAGAACCAGCAGCAATGGCTGATTTGAATCTGGGCCCACCACAGACAGATTTTACTGGACTCAAACCGGCAGGATCTAAGACACTTCAACTGGACACTTTAGTCAGCCCAATGGATCAAACAATTATACTGGAGCCTATTACTCCAGAAGGACAGCTGGAAACCCCCTCCTTCTCAGAGCTGGGCTCCCATGTAGCTGCAGAAGAGCGCGTAGAGTTGACACTCATTCCAGCTGAACAAACTGAAAGACTCGAAGAAGCAGCAATACATCAGAACCTTCAAAAGCCTGAAATTAGTCCAATGAACTATGACCCTAGTCTTTGTCAGAATGAGGTAGCTGATCTCAAGGAAAACCTTGAACAAACGTTCATTTTAGAACTTACCCCTGCTTTAATGCCTGCTGCGGAGCTCGAACAGTCTCAAAGTGAACCACAAAATGGGATTATTTCCTCTTCTTTGGTTCAAAGCACAGAGCAGGAAACTCCTGATCCGGCTCCAAGTGACACTGTAGAAGATGCAAAAAAGGCCAAGATACCAGTCCCACCACTCACACCCACAGTTGAGTTGGAACTTACATCAACACACTCAGAGGAACAGGACCTGTCGTCTTGCCCTTCTGCTCCACCAGAAACAATCATACAAGCTCCAAGTGAATCTGAAGCAAAGGAAAATACACATTCAGATACAGAAAAAGTAGGTCTAGATCAGATGCCTGCTATTAATGAAAAGACGAAAGAAAAGGACGAACAGGATGTTTCTGAAAAATTTCCAGCAGAAGACAAGAGCAGCTTGTCTACAGACCCTCAAGTAGAAACTCCGTCAAAATTAGAGTCTAAAGAGGACCAGCAGAAATCAGAGTTACCTGTGAGCGTCATGTCAGCCCAAGAGTTAGTGAAGGTGCGGAAAAGAAAACCTGCTAGGACCTTTTTCTTTCAAGGATATATGCATGACCTGGTTGGATCCATATACAGGGACGATTTTCAGATTGATGCCAAGCCTGCGAAGCGCCAGCGGACTAAAAAGTCTTGTCTTGTTGTCAAATTTGGCCCACAAGGCAAGGACAAGAAATCCAAAAAACAGAAGAAGCCTGAACAAGAACAAACGCAGACACAAGACAATTTGATAAAAAGTAAAACATCTCCTAAAAAACCTCCAGAGAAAGTACAGAAAGTACAAACACCGAAGAAGACCGGAAAGGGGAAAAAGGATAAGACTGAGAATACGTCATCAGGAAGTGACACAAAATCACCTTCAACTCATACTCCACAGGTGAAACAAGTCAAAGACGATGCCAAGAAGAACAAAATGAAAAAACAGAAAGAAACCAAGGAAGATGTAGTGCATATCAGTAAGCAGAAACCTGTAGCTATGCTTAAAAAGAAAAAAGCAGCAAAAATATTACAAAAAGATCAACCTAAGAATCCAAAGGAAGTGAAGGGAAAGAAAAACTCAACAAAAGCACAAAAAGTCCATAAAGCAGAAGCCACTGATTCAAACATCAATCAAGACTCTCTTCTTTTACTGAAAGGTCACAAGCAGCCCCAGCTAAAAGTGTACAAGTTAGACACTTTAAAGACATCAGGCCCGACTCAGGAGGATTCACCTCATGATTCGCAGTTCTCAGACATTTCCAAAGCAGGTGGGAAGAAAAAAGGTACAAGAACCCAGAAAAACCAGAAGGGTCTCTCCCTGTTGTCGTCACTACAAGCTACACGTCAACAACCGCAAATAATACCCACCAAGCCAAAGACCACCAGGAAGCGTAAAGCATCTTTGAATGTTGAAACTGAAGGCGTGATTACTTCAAAGCGTGCCTTAGAATGTAAGGACTGTGGGGAGAAATTCAGCGAAGTTGCTTCACTTCAAAAGCACAAGACAACAGCACACATCATCGAAAGTCCTGGCCTCACCTACACCAATGGAAACATCTTTGAGGGTGTCTCTGGATTTGATCTTTACCAGCTTCCCAAAGAGCATGGTGGGGTGGTTAGGGTTATGAATGCTCCCACAGACTGGGATACTGAGACTGAAATGGGAGAGTTGACGTTGGAAGACCGTGATCGAAGTGTCTCCTTTCCAGCTTTAATTCCATCTCCTTCCCTACAAATCCCACTTCAGGATGGTGAAATGGGTATCCATGAACACAATGGTGACAGTAAAACTGGGAAAGAAGATCACTTCTGTACCTCTTCTGAACTTCAGTCTTCATCTGATGAACCCAATAATACAGAGACTCAATCGAATGTGACAACTGAAGCCTCTTTCCCTCCCTCAACTGAGCCAAAGGGTTCTAACACGGAAGAACCAGTGGCACCAGAAGAAGATGCGCAAGAAGATCCCAGGAAGAACCTCAACTTCCAAGCTAAAGTCCAAGGAATAGCAGATGAGGATATCAAGGAGGATTTACTTCTAGAGGTGGATTTGGTCACTGTTGGAGAGCAGGAGGAGAGAGACGATGCTGATTCTCAAAATGAATCCAAAAGAGTCTACAAGTCAAATTGTGAGATCACAAATCACAAGCAAGTTGGTAATGAGACAAGACAATTCAGTCTAACCTGCCAGACTGTGTCTTGTTCTACCCATCAGCCAGAGGTCAAAGAAGAGGAGGAGGAAACACTGGTTCAGAGGAGAAAAGAGGCAGTGAAAGAAGTTGTGACAGGTCAGAGCAGAAGAGGAGAACTCAAAAGTGATTTGATCTCAAAGACAAGTTCAGGACTGGAGCAAGATGACGAACCAGATGAATGCTGGATAGTTTATGAAAAACAACTACTTCGCTCTGGTTTGGAAACAGCTGACCAAGAGATTAGCACAAAGACACAACCCAGTCCTGAGATGAAGACCATTAAAGATACTCCACCTGCGGCATCTTTGCCTTCTGTTCATGCAACAGTTGAAGAAGCTGCTGCGTTCGAGCTGAAATCCCTTACCGCTGGTGTTGATGAGGTTATGAATCAAAGACGGTTGCAGGGAGAAGAGGAAAGGGAGAGTGACCAGTCTCCTGGCATCATCCTGGAAAGGGTAATTTCCTCTAAGCAAGGACCAACAACTGACAGGGAGATGAGCTCGGCAACAGGAAGAAGCAATCAATCACAGGTGACTTTTGTTTCTTGTACCCTTAGAAAAAAAAAATTGAACCTTAATCGGGGTTATAAAGCAACATTTGTTTTTGTACCAGGCTATGGGTAGAATTGCCGAGAACGAGGTTCAAGATCCTGAAGGCCATGAGATCAAAGTTGAAGAGAACAGCTCAGACACTGTGGTAGTTGCACCCACCTGTCAAAACAGACAGAGTACCACTGGTGTGCAGCCAAAGCACCATCAAGACATAAGAAGCATCCTGGTGAAAGAGGAAAGCAACTCTGTGGTGAACGGTACCATGAGCCTGCACGGCAGTAGACACATGCGATGGAATGTGGAACCAGTAAACAGTGAAAACACAGACATCCCATGTAAGTACCAAAGAGCAAGAATTATCTTTCATAAGGTGTCAATAAGAACACAACTATAAACCACAGGATGAGAAGCCAAATTTTAAGAAATCTGAGAGCATGAAATCTTTAAAAATTTTTTACATATTTAACATATTTCTTTTTTGTTGGATATATTCAATTCATTTAGATTTAAGATATTTATAGATTAAATATTTTTGATATATTCACAGCTAAAACCTGCTTATTCTGATCACTTATAATGGATGTTTATGTATTTATTTATTATTGCTTAATAAATTCAAAGCCAAACACTTGTACTATCTTATTTCTATTGACTTGCAGACCTCTAGGTTGAGCCTTCTTTGCAAAGCAAGATTACTTAACTTGGCCCCTTCCTAACTCAGATATGAATGTTATCAGGCTCGTTACTTCTAAGAAAAACGTAACAGAATAAAAAACAGACATAGAGAAAGATACGTCTAGTTTACAATTACACTGTTGTGAAGATAACGAGGATTAGTGAGGAGTAGTGAGAATATTTATATAAATTTTTTTATATTTTTGGATTTACGTTTTCAGTAACGGAGGATGGGGAAACAACAAGGGACAGTAGTGTCACTCCGGACTTCAATTCCAACCAGTGCATCTTTTACCCGGTAAAGGAGGAGGAGAGGGAGGTCTTACTGGGGGCCACTCAAACCATTACAGAAAGCTCAACCCCTGAAGGGTCTGCCAATGTAAATCCGACAGAATATCAGAGTGCAGATTGTAATGCACGTGAGTATCCGCCTCGACTTTCTTCACATTAATCTTTTTACATCATATTTTACTTTAATCTTACACCTGATTAAATAGATGAAAGAAGATCATCACCGCCGAGCTATCAAGAGTCGGTAGTCCCAGGTCTCCCATCAGAACCAAGTGTTGGTGACTTAACAGATGGACAAGGTTTGTTAAGCGTTAGTTTAAGCTGATTGTTCATTTAATTAGAATTTTTTAACTTAATATACTCTTTGATCTTTCAGCTGCTTCAGATTCTGAGTTGCAGAATCCATCAGATCTCCGAGACTTTCTCCTCCAGAGTTCTGATGACGAAGACACGAGTGGTTTTGAATTATCTGAGCCTCAACTGGACAAGGAAGCCGAAATTATGGCTTACTTCAACAAGAACCAAACAAGCAGCAAACAGCTACCTCATCAGTCCTATTCAAAGTACAGTAGCACATTTTCATTTTAAGCTGGAGCACAATCAGGATTTCTCCTGAATGTTTTAGTTTTGCCGTATTGTTTATATCTGTCAGAAACAGGTTTTGTATAACAGACAGAAGAATAATCACCTGTTCTTTTTTTTCTCTTTTTCTTTCCAGGAGTTTGCCAAATTCAGCAAGCCATCTTCAAGCACCACATGATGACAACAGGACAGAAAAGCCTATAGATTACTTCTCTGAATATTTTAGTTGGGATACATGGGTAGAAATTGCAAGTTGTACGAATAAACTTTCCAAGATGCCAAACCCTGTGACATGCAGAGAGGTCGCACGCTTCGTTGGGATCCACATTGCAATGGGAACCTTAAAGGTCTGTATATTTTCATAACTTTCTCAATGACTACAGGAGCTGTCAAATACTGTACAATAAAAAAAAATGTTTAATTGCTCTGTTGTTGCTTTTCAGTTTCCCAGTGCGAGGCTCTACTGGGAAGACCTGACGAAGGTGTCGTTGATAGCTGAAGCCATCCCACTGAACCGATTCCTCGACCTTTCTCGGATGTTGAAACTTTGTTCTTTTAACGAACCAAAAGAAAATGTTACAGGTCGGCAGAAGGGGGATACGCCCCGAAGCAGTCAAAGTTTAATTTCTGGTCATGGTGACAGTCGGAGCTCAGCAGAGCCAAACAGCTCACAGACAGATGCTGATCCGCTGTGGAAGGTTCGTCCATTATTGTATCGCTTCAACGAAGGATGTCGGTCGCTGAAACAGCCAGGGGATTACGCCGTAGACCAATACCCAGTATCTCTGACTGGGAAGATTCACAACAACAGACACTCTCTCCAATCCACTACATTGATTGGGCTTAATGGTTTAATCACAAACTTGGATCTTGAACTACATCCTGCTGAGAACCAAGACTCAGTCGAAAAGATGGTCCCCAAAGGGAGTACGTTGTTCCTCTGTAAACAGGAACTCTCCACCCCCGCCATGCTGGAGCGCCTTTTAGCTGCTGGGATCCATGGAGCCGGCAGGGTAGAAGGAGCGCGGGGACATATTGGGGATGAGTTTGTGAGCTCTGATGGGAAGTTGATGCTGCGCAGAACACACTGTGGCTTCATACTTTCTACTGCAGGCAACGGCCAGAGGAACATGGTCTCACTCATAGACAGCTTTGAAAAGGCCCAGACGTCGGCACGTCTCAGCAGAGATTTGCTAAATCTGTACTCTACTCCACTCACGGTCTCTTTGCCAACCTGTTGGCCTCAAGCGGTCCTGTGGCACCTCACAGATGCGGCCCTGGTGAACTCCTGGCTCCAGTACCGGCAGGATTACAGAGCGGCATCTGCCCCAATGACGTTCATGGCCTTCAGACTGGAGGTGTCTAAGGCTTTGATTCTCTCCAGCGGGTTGGACACCCAGGACTCAATTCCCCCACAGCCTCCTGAGGAGGACGCTCACCATGCAAGTGAAGCGCCCAGTCCGGGACTGCTGGAGGAGAGTCCTCTGCCAGACTTAACCACCCGGTACGATGGTACTGGCCACTGGCCGGAGCAGCTTGCAGAGGGGGAAGGAGGAAGGTGTCGCTTTGGGGACTGCCAAAGAACATCACGAGTGCTGTGCCTTAAGTGCTGCGTCTTTCTTTGCATCTCTCGCAACCACAACTGCTTTCTGAATTTTCATAATCAAGAGAGTTCGGGAGAGGAGCAGTAATACTGTCCTCACTCGGTAAATAATTGCTTTCTGATTTAGAATGTAAATGTTTTTATGAAGTATGTGAAAACTGCTCCCCCACTCTTACATTTTTTACATGATGACTTTTACTGGCAGTGCCATGACTTTGTTGTACTGATGCGATGTAGATGATACAACTACTTTGTCAAGGCTTGTTAACTCACTGGGCAGATGTAAATAGAATTTTTCCTTTAGATGGAATTTCACAAAACAGAAATTAACCAATCACTGTTTTGCAAAATATTACCAGGAATGATTTTTTTTAAATTGTTTTTTCATATCTTTTACATGATTCAGTTATACGTCCATGATGAAATTTTCCAACCCATACATTTTTGTGTTATTTATTCCAAATAAAAAAACAAAAAAACAATGGCGTGAAAAGGTCTGTCATTTTTTTATAACAGTAAACCAATACACTTCAACAAACAGCCAGTACAGGAGCATCTCATAGACTATCTTAAAAAAAAAAAAAAGAAAACAATTGAAATATGTACACATAAATTACCACTCCATGAATGAGTGGTAATTTATGTAGTAAGGCTGGGTTTAAGCCAATTGCCTCTGCTACTTTTTCAACCAGTTTTTCCTTCCACTTAACTTTCTGGTAACTTTCCTGAACAGTTTTTTTTTTTTTTTTTGCAGTAAGCCAACAAGCAGAATTCTGTGTACATGTCACTCTGAGTAATTAACCTGTATAAGTGATTTTACTTTCAATTGAACTAAAAATTAAGTTTTGTATTGTATTTTATTGACATGTCACTGCATCTATTGTCATAAAACTGAAAAAGCTTAATGGAATTCAACGATCATTATTAGTAGTTGTTTTGTTTTTCTTAACTAATGTTAAAATGTATTTTATTTTAAGAAATGTTAATCTTACAAAGATACTAATTTTACAATATTAATAGAGAAGTTATGCAAATCCTTAAGTCGTAATAGTTATTAATATTTATTAGCTACATTAAGTTATCCCAATCATACATAAAGGTGCCCTGCTTAACTTGAATTAAACTGAGTGAAAGCCTTGAAATTTCCTTCAAAATGCTATGTAACTATATCTTCTCAATATTTATAAAATATGTTAGTCTAGCTATATTAGGTTCTAACTTATTCTTTTTCATAAATTAATTTGTCATTAATTGGACTTTCATTATACTTTATATTATCGTGTGTTATATTAGTATCAAACTGATAAATGTCCAAATATGAGAAAGGAAGAAAAAACATGATTTCACTTTGACAGCACGTCTTACCAGAAGTCCTATTGATTCTAAAATAGGTAGCCATATTGCATTTTGGGGTTGATGAGAACCATTTTTCTCTGTCTTCCTGCTAATTTTCTACCTGCCAACTTGGAAATGTTAATCTCAACTAATGTAGTTTTGTTATGTATTGTATGAGGTGAGGTTGAACTTGTTATAAAATATTTGACACACCAATCCAATTTTCCATGAAACACTTGTTGCTACTGTGCAAATTAAAATAAGCCCATTTACAAAAACCATAATTATCATCGTTAGATGCATTTTTTGCGTTCAAAATCGTATAAATTATATTGAAACTGAATATAAGTAGGGCTGTGTCTGTCTGTCTGTGTGCATAAAAAGTTTTTTAAAAATCAGGTACTTCTTTTGAGTCGTGTTGGGTCACGTGATTTAGATCAGCCATAGAGTAACAATGCATAGAAACACTTCTAATTTTCAAATTTGCAGCGTGTCTAATCTGTGCCAAAGTTGCTTTTGTGTGCATTAGTCCAATTTATTGTTTAGTAAATAACAACATTACTAATCAATTGTATAATAAAAAGTATATAAACAGAACGTGTTGCTGATTTGTAAGTAACAGAAGGATTTATTTATTTTTTTTAGTGTTGCGTGTTATTGTGCTGATAATTCTTTATAATTCAGACTCGTGGTTGTTATCAGCGCCATAACTTAAGATCATCTATGTTTTGACACTTTATTATTATTATTTTCCTAATCTGTATCAAACTGGCCCCACCGAAGAGTCCACGCGGCAGCCATCTTGGCTGTCCCCATCACCACCAACAACAACGCACAGGAGGAAACGCACGATCTATGTGTTGTATTTCTAGGGTCAACTCTCTCAGTCAAACTAGCTGCAAAAAGCGGTTCGAGGTAACGTCCCCTTGTTTTTAGCATAATTATATTATTCATACATTAGTATTGGTTTACTGTATTTACTTAGTGCGCTTCAAATTGGTCATCAACCTATAAACGGTGTGTAAAATGTAATTTTGAACTTAGTGCGGGAACAGACACGAAGTCTGCGGTTCTTTTTTGAATGGTAGGAGTGTTGTTAGCGCTAACTAGCTGGCATTAACCCGCTCAACTAGTCTGCTACTTTGTTTCTACCATTAGTTGCATGCAGATAAATACATTAAAGGAAAAATAACTGGTAACTGGTTGGGTTCATTTTGCTAGCTAGTTACAGGTAGAGATTTGAATCATGTAGTTTTTATTATGTCGCAATGTTGCAAACTGGCATGAAGCTAGTTAGCTTAGCTGGCGGCCTTAGCGTTACGTTCAACGTGAGCTCTAGCTACAACTTAAGAGGTTGTTTTGACTTAAATATTAAATAAATATCAGAGTACACGTTTTGTGGAGTTTTTCAGATATGTTATTTGGAGTTTTTTGCTTTTTACATTCTTAATTTAATTAGGGTTTTTTTTTCTCAGTTTCATATTTATTCAGCATTTCTGTTTGTCTTTATGGCATTATATTGTTGACGAAACTAAGGTGTTTTTGCGCGTAGTATTTGAATCTGAAGACTTTAGTGGGGTTTTTTGCACGTTGTTTTGAATCTTGAGTTGTCTTTTTTTGTGTGTGTGTGTGATTCCAGCAAGGTTGTGTCGCAGCAGTGTCGTAGAATGGACTCAGACATTTTGAACATAGAGGACATAGTGCTGGGACGGGGCTTGCCAGAACCACCACCACCACCCGCACCTCCCCATGAAAAGCCAGCAGAGCCATACAAACCCGTCATTCTGAACGGACCCCCGGCTCCTTCGGTCCAGTCCTGTAAGTGCTTCAGGGGGCCCAGTTTGAAGAGAGTTACTAGCATGACCAGAACCGTAACCGAGTCTGTGTGTGCTCTTTCAGACCAACATGAAAACCTGCAGTGCTTCCAGTGCTTCATCACCTTCTGCAACGCCAAAGCAAAGGAGAGACACATGAAGAAGAGCCACAGGGAGGAGTACAAACAGCAGCTTCAACAGGTACATTTAACTAGAAACAGTTTGTCTGTTGTCATAATTGACTTGTCTTGATTGAGGGAAATGAATATCTCAAAAGTTCAGTGTTTAAAAACATCTTGCTGTCTTAAAATTAGATTTAATCACATAACCTATTTATATTACTAACAATTGGTTCCCCCTGTTCAGTGTAATTTAAGATGTTTCTTTGTCTTGCAGAGTAAAAAGGAAGTGATCTAGCCTGAAACAGTTTTAATTCGTGTTTCTCTGTATTCAATCTCTGCACAGGGAAACACACTGTTTACGTGCTACGTGTGTGACCGCACGTTTCTGTCGTCTGAGGAATTAACGCAGCACCAGCCGACACACAGCAACGACGACAAGCCTTTCAAATGTGCTCACTGCAAGGAGAGCTTTAAAACGTTCTCCCGGGGAAGGGTTTTTTTTTTTTTTTTTTTTTTTTTTTAACAAATCTCTCAAATGTGAAAATTGGAAGCATTTAAAATGTTGCTATCAGGCAATTAGTGCATCTCCATCTTGCTTTGCCCACACATTATCCCTCATTTTTTTAAATTTCTTTTTGTAATGTTACAAGGTGAAGTGTATTTTAGTGTGAATTTTGTAAAATAGACACAAAAATGAGCACCATGTTCAGCTAGACGTAAAGAATCCTTAATTTGCAAAGGTTTTCATGAAGAAAAACCTGAACGTTAGCATCCCTAATCAGCATAAAATCTCAAAATGCAGTAAGATTTGTGATTGTAACATGACAATGTTTAAAATGTCTAAAGTGTCGGGTTTGAATTGCATATGATGAGCATTGTGCTAAATACTTGGGTGTAAAATTATTCTGCTTTGATCCTTTGCAGCTCACAACTCACAGAAGACAGGTGTGTCCAGAGAAGCTGCTGGTGTGTAAAGATTGCAGCCAGACCTTTCGCAGTCCTGGGCTGCTGCGTGCCCACCGCCTGACCCAGCATCCACGCCCTGACGAGAACACAGAACAGCCCGAGGATCCAGCCAAGCCTCATCGCTGTAAGAAGTGCGGCCAAGGATTTGAAGCGGAGTCTGAGCTGCAGGCACACCAGGAGAAATACCCGGAAGGCCAGCAGTGCAACGGCAGCGCTTCTCCTGTGAAGAAACGCGGTCGCCCGGCCAAAGCCGAAGACCCGGCCAGTTCTGAGAAAAAGGGAAAGCGGAAAAAGAAGGATGAGGCGGAGGTTTCCGAGGAGGCGACGAAGGCCCCCGCCACGGCAGAGCCTGCGGTAGCTGTGGGAGAAGACAAAGGAAAAGCAGGTGGAGCGAAGCGAGGTCGTCCCCCTAAAGCAGCGGCGTCGGAAACGGAAGACAAAAAAGGTGCAGAAGACGACAGTCCGGCAAAGGAGAAGAAACCAAAAGAAGACCCGGCTCCGCCTCTCCAGATCCCGTGCACGGAGTGTGAGCTCACCTTCCCCGGTTTGGTTCAGCTGCGCGCTCACAAGAAGGAAAAACACACCCCACGGAAAGCCCATCCCTGCGAAGAATGTGAAGAGAGTTTTGCCCGACCCGAGCAGCTGGAAGCGCACACGTCGCGGGCTCACGCCGTCGGCCGCTTGTCCTGTCCGACCTGCGGGAAGAGCTTCAGCCGGGAGCGCACCCTGCTGGCTCACCAGAAGAGCCACCCAGAGGAGAAGCCCGAAAACCCTGAAAAGTCAGGCTCCAATAGATAATTTAGACATGGGTAGCCCGCAGAAAGTTTGTGGTTTTTCAGAAACTTAGTCATGAAATGTCCTTTTTTTTTTTCTTTTTTTCTTTTTTTTTTAATTTGGTCGATACCACAGTTGAGATGTTTTAAACAAACTGGGAACGGTTTGGAAAATCAGGTTTTAGTCGGTTGTTAGTTTGATTATGAGCCGCTGAAGATGGAAACATCTCATAAGTTGACTAACCAAGTTTTAAACATCTATTACACTGTTTCCCATGAAACAGTTCAGTTGTATAAAGAAGCAGGTTTAATTCACTTTTTTTTTTAATGATTTTGTTTTTAGTTTGAAGTGTGTGTTTTTGAATTTATTTGGCATTCTGTTGATTTACTCACTTTGTGAGGGGTTTTTATTTGTAATTTTTTTTTTTTTTAGTTTTTATTTCCTCTGCCCTAACAGATACAAGTACATA